TCAGTAAAAAATATTTAAATTCAACAAAAACAATTTCAGTTCATTAAAAATAATTTTAGGTTAGCAAAAATAAGGTGAAGTAAACAACTAGGGCCTTAAAATAAGTTCTAAATACTTAAAATTATTTACAAATTCTTAAAATTGATTGGGTGTTTCAAAAACCATCAAAGCAAATTTATCTAACATCGGCTCTAAGAGTACTGTACAAAAAGCCATGCAACACCGTGGGGTGCGGGCAGCGGGCTGATGTAAATGCCACATAGAAAGCCATAAATGATCTTATGGTACGTAAAGTAAAATCCTGTTCATTTCGTCTTAATTTTTGTTGAACTGAAATTATTTTTATAGATTTCCTCTTTTACTTCTTCTTTAAGTTTACTGATTTTTAGTAAAATGAAATTATTTTTACTGAATTGAAATCAATTTTACTAAATATTATTTTTTTTAGGGTGAAGTGAACATGACCTAAGAGAAATTTAATTTTAGCTAGGAAAATCTAACATATTAAATGACCACCATTAAAAATTACTATTTGTATACAACTACCTTAAATTTTTTTGGTATTTGACCACTTTTAATACTTCCTCTGTTTCATAATGTTAGTCCCATATATTATTTTAGGCATTTCAAAAAAGATCTACCCATATTGAACATACAACTTAATTTTTTTGAAATTAATTGGTTATGGATTGATGACATGGTTCTATGTATTGGAATCTCTACATTGAATCATGCAATTATGAACAGTGCGTTTCTGGTGCAACTGGCCGCACGGTGCGACGAGAGTAACTCCTAAAGTAACCCCTCAAGTATCCCCCAAGTAACCCCACTTAAGTAACCCCTCTAGTAACCCCCAAAGTAAGACCTCGAGTAACCCCCAAAGTAACCCCAATTAAGTAACTCTCCTAGTAACCCCCCAAGTAACCCCTTAAGTAACCCCTGATCGGACCAAGTAACCCCTGAGTGAACCTAGTAACCCCTTAAGTAACCCTTAATCGGACCAAGTAACCCCTTAAGTAACTCCTAACCGGACCAAGTAACCCCTAATCAAGTAAGTAACCCCTAATCCTACACCACTTCAAAGCCTTAAACTCCACCACACCACCACCAACTCCCTTACCCACTGCCCCACGCCACCAGCCCCTAACACTGACCAAACCCGAACCCACACCCAAAACCCACCCTAACCACCAACAACCACGCGTAGCAACCACGCTGCCACCAACTCCCAAAACCCACCCTAACCACCACGTCACCACCAACCACGCACACCTAATCCCGATACGCCACCACAATTTCCTCAATCTCCTTCAAATCTGCGGTTCACCACAAAGAAGATGAAGATGACGGCGGAGGTCACCAGATCAACCGCGAAAAAGTATTGAATGGAGGAAATAGGCACGAAAATGATGAATTGGTACCTGAATTGCTGAAATTTGGGGGAAATATTAGGGTTTGGATCTTCGAATTTAGTCGCAATTCACATTAATTTCCTTCAAATCGATATGCAATTCATCACAATGAACACGAAGACGACAGCGGAGGTCAGTTTGGCTAGCGAATTCTGTGACAAAGAAGGCAAAGACGATGTCGACGACGATCTAGGTTGGAGAAGGAAGTCGATGACAATCGTTGGAGCAGGAATCCAGTGCTTCAAGGATGAACGAAGAAGGCGACGACGATCTGGGGAAATGAGAGGAGAGGAGAGAGAAAATGGAAAAAAATTAAAAAAAATAATGGTTGGCCGCATGGTACGGCCAGCCGCATACGAAACTTTAATTTGTGAATTATGAATTATGCTTTCAAAAAAATAAAATAAAATAAAATAAAAATTTAAATAAGGTAAACTAATTATGATTTATTTTGTTATTTAATAATGTTAGATTCCAAATATTCTTCTTTTCTTAATTTATGTGATTGATTTATATGGACTAAAATTATGAAAGAGAGAGTGTCTTTTACTACCACAAAAAGGGTTTTGTTTCACATCATGCAAAATGAGGCAATTTTATTGCTCTTTTTACAATTTCAAACTCAATTTGGATCCTTTATGGCCAAAATGACCCTTAAGACCTTAATAATATAATTTTTCAGGTTTTTTGTTTTTTTTTTTAAAAAAAAAGACATATAAACCTAGACACTTCTTTATTTTTTTTTTTTAGGGCTAGACACTTATTAGCAAGAAAAACGAGGCAATCTATAGTTTATTTTATTTTATTTTAATGATCCTGAGCCCAATTTGAACACTTCGACACCAAAAGTCAAAAATACCCCAAATCATAAAGGTAGGTCTCACTATTAATTTTCTTGACGGAAACTATTATATTGTGGCAAAAGCTATATATATCTTTTTAATTATGATTAAAAAAAATAGTGGCTTTTTTTAGGGGGATTATTTTGAAATGTTCCTTTTAGCTATTGGGTATCATCACTAGAGACTTAGCCTTTCTAATTTACATCCTTTTTCAATTTAAAAACATATCAAGTTCAAATTTGAACATTAGATCACTTTCCAGACGTTCTTTCCCTTTTCTTAAAGGAGCACAAGGCTTGGAGGAACTCAACTTCTCCAAATTCTGGTGCAGAAACTTGGGAGAAATAAAGCTCGGTTTGGGCTAGTTGCCACATCAAATAATTCATTAACACGGAGGCAACCACCGATTTGGTTAGATGAGCAGGTCAGGGTGAGGCGTGTATTGGAATATATTTTAGGAGAGATAATATTGAGAATATTGTGGAAGGTTAACTTAGAATATATTGTGATTATCTTAGGTTATTTGGTCTTGCCCTCCAAAGATACCTATATATAAATATTGTATGTGGCCAATATTAATTAATGAGAATGATATAGTGAACTATTTTCCCCCAATATTTGACATGGTATTAGAGCGTAGGTTGAGATCCAAATTTTTTTACATAATTAAGTTCATCTTTTACGTAGAAATTCTTAAGAAATTGTGAGAACAAAATTGCACAGCCGAATTTTTTTGGTAAAATTTATGAATCCCGCTGGTGAGTTTAATTTTCTAACCCACCGGCAGGGGGAATATTTTTGTGAACGGCCCCAAGATTTAACATGCTCTCGGTACCATGACAAATTAGGGGAAAGTGTGAATAGAATGACTTGATTATTATTCATCAATAGGTAGAGTATTTATTCAAAACCTACGAAATGAAATAAACCTAAATATATCATTCTCTAAATAATATCTTAACATAAAATAAACCTAAATATATCATTCTCCTAATAAGATCAATACGGAAAATATAACACTCATATATTCTCTGATATCTTATATCTCTAACAACGTGCCACGAGTCCACAACTCTTGATCAAATTAAACTAGGCCTCGTCGATGGCTTTGGGTTCAAACAACCTGTCCTTGACCTTTTCACAAATGTTCTTAGTAGCTTGCAATATATCCTTGTCCCTAATTTCCTTCCTCGTCTATTCAAGATGAACCTTGTTGGGGTTTGTCTAACAATGGCGATTTTACTGTAAAATCTGCTACTTGGTTAGTCCATAACATATCTTCCCACACTAAGTGAGAATTTTCTTGGATTTGGAAGTTATATATCTCTCCAAAATTGAATTTTTTTTTTGGCAACTTCTTCATAACGCTCTTCCTACTAGAGCAAATCTTGTTCATCGTTAGTTGGACATTCCCAGTACATGTCCTTTATGTAATTTTCATGTTGAAACATAGGATCATTTATTCCTTTCATGTCTGTTTACGAAATTTTTGGTCAGCTAACCCTACTAATAATTGGCTAGGTCATGTTCCTCTTCATAATAATTTTTAGGGAATTTTGAATTTTACCACCTTCAAATAACCACTTAATTGAATTTACCACCTCCAAAAAAAAAAAAGATTTACTTTACCACCAACAAAAATTCCAAAACTTTGATTTTACCACCAACTAACGGATTCCGTCCATGAATCCGTTAGTAGGGCCCACCTTTTATGTTTCTTCTTCATCTTCCCCGATTTCCATATCAACCCAGCTGGCAACGAAATTAACTCACCGTGGCTGGTCGGAATTTCGTGTGGGGGCAAGGGAGGGGTCGGAATTTGGTTTAGACTAGGGATGTGGTCGAAATTAGGTGGTGGATAGGGTTTTAGGAGTGCGGATTGGTGGTGGCTAGGGTTTTAAGAGTTGTTGGAATTAGGGGGGGGGGGCTATATGGGTGGTCGGAATGTGGTGGCTAGGGTTTTGAGGTCGGAAATTGGTGGAGAGGGGGGTCGAAATCGATGCGGTGGCTGTGGCTGTGCGGTGCTGTTGGGGGGTTCCGGGGGTCCGTTGGCAGGTGCGGTGCGGTGGTAGTGGTTAGGTGGTGGGTTGGTCGTAGCGGTTAGGTGGTGGCTAGGGTTTTGAGGTCGGAAATTGGTGGAAAGGGGGTCGAAATTGGTGTGATGGTTGTGGATGTGCGGTGCGGTGGTAGCTGTTAGGTGGTGGGGTTGGTCGTAGCGGTTAGGTGGTGGGGGTTGGTAGCAGTTAGGTGGTGGGGGCTGGTCGTAGCGGTTAGGTGGTGGGGCTGGTCGTAGTCGGTCCGGTGGTGGGGGTCCCGACGGTGGCAGCAACCACCGGTTAATGGATGAGGATTTGTTTTTTTTTTTTTAATTTTTGTTTAAAACTTACCCAATAATATGGCGACACGTGTGCAAGGTAGGCCCCACTAACGGATTTATGGAAGGAATCCGTTAGTTGGAGGTGATTGGTGGGAAAATTGATGTTTTATTTTTTTTGGAGGTGGTAAATTCAATAAAGTCGTTATTTGAAGGTGGTAAAAATCAAAATTTCCTAATTTTTATCAGCTTTTCAGAATTTTACTTGGGAATTTTACTTTTTCTGTGATTAAGATTATTACTTCTATGTGGAGTAATTGGAAAACTAGAAACTCAATTTTCTTTCAAAACTTGAATTTCTCTTCTATGGCTATCTTATCCCGTGCCTAAAAAATCTTTCATGAATGGAAGTTGCGCTCTTGTTTGGATTCTATGGATAATCAATTAGTTCCTTCTACTTCTAAAGCTAATTCTCAGACGATTCAGATTTCCTGGTCTCCTCCTCATCATGGTGTTGTTAAGATAAATTTTGATGGGTCTGTACGCGGTACCTCAGGTGCAGGTGTAGTTATCAGAGACCACTTGGGTAATCATATTTGTAGTCGGTCTTTTAATATTGACACAAGTACGCCTCTTATTGCTGAAGCTACTACCCTTCGCAATGGCCTTCTATTTGCACGGTCCCACACTTTTTCCCATATTTTTATTGAAGGGGATAACTTACTTATAATTAATATTTTGCAGGGTAAAACTCAGTGCCCATGGAAGATTCAGTTATTGCTGGAAGATATAAGGGAGCTCCTACGTCTTTCTCTTCCGTCGAATCCAGGCACATCTATAGAGAGGGCAATATAGCAGCAGATAATGTTGCTTCTTTAGGTCATTTCATGCAAACACACCAGAATATTGATCCTTTTTTAGATAGTAAATTTTTTTTATTGCTTCATATAAGTTGGGTTACAGTTTTAAGAGAAGACAAGTCTAATTCTTGTTTCTTTCCTTTATTAAAAAAATATATATATCCCGTCCCTGATTAACCAATTGCATTAACTCCAACGTCTTTGTGTGTTTTATAATTTGTTGTATTTTCCATGTGTTTTATAACTTAGCTACTTGAAAATATTTGGGAAGTATCCATCTTTCTCCAATCATCTGACACTTTTATTTCTTTCCTATTATTTCATAGGGGTAACGAATAAGAGAAAATGATAGATGAAGGTAAAAACAGAAAATCCAAGTTTATAAATGTGTTAAACAAATCAAGTTCATCACATGGCAATTTTGTAATCCGTGTACAGGCATTAAACAAATACTTTTCCTTACAGCAGCACCTGACAAATGACCTGTCTTAATACAAACAATCTAACGGAAAATAAAGTTGACATAAAATGAATAAAGCAAAAGGGAGTAGAACATAGAAAAACAGACAATAAAAATAGAAAGCGAGTAAAATTCTGGAAAATGGAGGGGGTATATATATTACTAACATAACATGTGTGTTAAGTTGTGTACATGATGAAAAACAAGCTATCATCAAGCCAAAGAGCTGAGCAACAGGTGCAATAATAATCTATGAATCTATGATTGATAGTTTGATGGTGGTTAAGTATGTAAAGTAATACATAATGTTGATTATGAGATGTATATGTGAAACACATACTATATGATATATGCATCAACCATGGTACACCGTGGCCTGGGTATGTTTAATTTTCTTTTTATCTTCTACTATCACCAATTATTTACTTACTCCGTACTACATAAGGACCTGAGGCTTATTTGGTTTAACAAGCTACATTTTCGAATACGTAGTTAACATTTAATTTCATGACCGATTTGTTGAACTTAGGGTGCTGCCACGATAATAGTAAACGGCTTTTTGTCAAAACTTACCTATTAAAAGCCTTTTTTTTTTTTTTTTTTTTTTTAAATGCACCACTTCTATATTATTTAGTAATTTTAAACTATGTTTTACCATTTCTTTCGCTTACTTTACACCCCGCTCAAATTATTTTATCATTTCTTTCTCTTTCTTGGTCCTTATTTTAAAGAATAAAAATATCTACCATCTTTAATCACATACTTCCTCTTTCATAGTCATCATCTTACTTTTATTGTAATAAATTATTCAGTCACTAACATATTACTCCGCATAGTATATTTTAGTCCTAAAAGTCCATGCATTAACAAGTGATGCATTTAAAAAACTGGAGGGAGTATAAATTTCTAGGAAAATTTGTGAGGAAGGTCTTTTAAGTAGATCTTTTTGTGACAAAGACCTTTTTATAAAAATGTCCTTATATCATGTTTAGGATGTGAGGAGGGTCCTTTGACCATTTTCCGGCGTTGACTTTTTTATTTTTCGGCCAAAAAAAGTCATAAGAATAATAATCGAATTTGTATTACCTAAATTATATATATATAATTCTTATTCTATGACTTTTTTGGCAGTTATAATGAGAATCAAGGCTAAAATAAGAACTAGGAGCTAATATAGGCCCTTAGATCATGTTAATCGGACGGCTCACATGCTTCCCGTGTCATTAATAACATTTTTGTAGTATTTTAACTTTACAAAGTAGTTTCCAGTTTCATTTCTCAAAAGTAAATGAAAATTGATCAGTAAACGTTAATGAAATCAGTTTTAAAGTAAATGAAATTGCCTTAAAAGTTAAAAAAATTGAAAAAAAGTTTGAAAACAGCGAAATTACGAAAATGTCATTAGTGAGAGCGGGTGCAATGTGAGCCATTAGATGTTGTGTGATCAATGGCTGAGATTAGTTCCTAGTTCCTATTATTCACCTTGGTTCTCACATGATCTCAATTATATATATAGAGAGAGAATTGAGATCATGTGAGAACCAAGATGAATAATAGGAACTAGGAACTAATCTCAGCCTTCAATCGTGCTCCATCTAACGGCTGACATCTCACCCGCTTTCATTAATGACATTTTCGTAATTTCACGGATTTTCAAACTTTTTTCCAGTTTTTTAACTTTAAAGGCAATTTCATTTACTTTATGACTGATTTCATTTACTTTTACTAACTTTTTATTTACCTTTTAGAAATAAAACTGGGAATAAGTTTGTAACATTCAAATATTACGAAAATGCCATTAATGATACGGGAAGCATGTGAGCCATTGGATTAACATGATTTAAGGGCCTAGATTAGTTCCTACTTCTTATTTTAGCCTTGGTTCTCATTATAACTTGATTTATATATATATATATATATATATATATATATGTGTGTGTGTGTGTGTGTGTACTAACCTTGATATATATTTATGATCAATAGATGAGATTAGTTATTATTCACCTTGATTTGAATTTATGAAACAATTTATAAATAAAACTAAAACAACAATCACTGACAATCTGACATGCATCATAACTATCTATGTGACAGCTTTTTCTTTAATATTTTCCCGCCTAATTGTTAACTTTCCCATAAAATTATACAAGTGTGGAGTATTTTTTTTTTCATCTACCAATGGAATATAGGGTTTCTAGAATATGATTAATCTCCTCCTTTCCTTTCCGTTCAACTTCTTAATGTATATGGTGCTTTCTAATTTTAATCAAAATTTTTATATTGTGCATTGCACAGGGCTAATCTAGTTTTTAATATAAAATTACTCTAGTATAATGGAGACATAAGAGCCTAAAAAATGGATTTCTCTCAACTAGTTTAACAACTATATTGCTAGCTCCGTATTTTTTATTTTATTATTATTATTATTTCTTTTCTTGCTTTGTACGAAGTATTTGGTAAGAATCTATTCCTAAATAATAAATTTTTAAAAAAATATTTTATTTTTTGAAACAAATCAATTTTTGAATAAAAAGCCATCCAACATTTACAAATGAAATCTAAATCACAAATACATAAAATTGAGCCAAATAGGGTTTCCTTCATCAAAGCTTCAATCGTTGAAAAGATCTTGCATTGTGGTACATCTCTCGCACACATCGCTAGAATATACATCTTTTTTGGAGAGACGGTCTAACGATTTGTTGTAGCCGTAAGGATAATTTTCATCTAACTCGCTTGAAAGCATTTCAAAACTTGACAATCGTTGCGATCCTGAATAAATATTTACTAAAGAACTAACAATAAGGCAAAAGATGATTACCTTTTTGATAAACCCTAACACACAGCAAACCTAAACGTAAACAAATAACTAAAAATAACGTAACTATTCCACCATAGGGAGACGAACGGGTATCTATATACTACTTGTGTAGATTTATTAAAACCTAAATTGCAAAACTAAATAAAATTAAGGGAAAAGGGTCGGTAATAGTCTAATTTTCGAGAAATTAAACTATTTCCGACCTAATCGACAAATATGAAATTAAACTATTTCCGGCTTAAATGACAAAGATTTTGGAGAAACCCTAGAAGAGAGGAGGAGAGAAGAGGTAAATAAAAAGATTTTTTACAGACTAAAGTATGACAATTTATTGTTTTTCAAATCAAATTGTATTTTGTAGATAAATTATTGGCCTTATTGAAAAAAAAAAATTATTGCCAAATTAAATGTATTGTACAAGGTTTTTTTTATTTTTTTTTTTGAGAGAAAATGTATTGTACAAGTTAAATTGTTTCTGTTGGTAAAATAGAGGGAATTAAAACAGAGTAAATTAAATTAAGAAAGCAAAAGGAAAATCTGATAATATGCTCTTAATATTGCTACATCAATTGATCAATATTTGTGCCTTTATATAGGCTTACATGAAAACAACTTAAGCTAGAAAAGTGGAAGAAATAACAACTTGCTACTGATTTATTCAAAACACTAACTAACCCTTAAGACTCGGACAAAGTAAAACAGAAAAGTTGAAGCATTCTTCATTCAATACACCCCCTTGCTTCAAAGCTACACACACCCATCTTCTGCCTAAAGTAAGTGTGCTTATCAAAAGAAAGAGCCTTCGTGAGTATGTCTGCAGTCTGATTGTTTGTTGCACAAAATTTCAGCTCGACTTCCTTCTTTGCAGCTAAACTTCTGATGTAGTGAAAGCGTATGTCTATGTGCTTGGTTCGACTATGATACGCTGGGTTCTTAGTCATGGCAATTGTTGCCTTGTTATCACAGAAAATCTCAGTAGCTTGTTTTTGTTCACAACCAACCTCACTCAACAGTCTTCGCAACCAAACCATTTGACAAGCTGCAGATGTAACAGCCACATACTCGGCTTCAGACGACGAGAGTGCCACTATATCCTGCTTCTTCGAGCTCCATGATATTGCTCCTGACCCCAAGATGAAGGTATGACCTGAGGTGCTTCTTCTATCATCAACACAGCCTGCCCAATCACTGTCACTGAACCCAAACAGCTTGCAATCTGCATTTTGCGCATACCAAATGCCATACTCAAGTGTACCTCTAATGTACCGTAGCACCCTCTTAGCAGCTCCAAGATGTTGCATAGTGGGAGCATGCATATAACGAGAAAGAGCACTTACAGAGTACACGATGTCAGGACGAGTGTGAGTTAGATAATTCAGTCCGCCTACCAAGCTTCTATAATAACTCGAATCCGCAGCTTCAGTACCATCATCATGCCTTAGTTTCTCACTCGTATTCATAGGAGTTGCAGCAGGCTTAGCATTGTACATATGGAACCTATGCAGCAGGTCCTTTGCGTATTTCCTTTACGAGATAAACACTCCATCTTCAGCTTGATTCACCTCGAGTCCAAGAAAATATTTTAGCTTCCCCAAGTCCGTCATCTCGAACTCTTTTGTCATTGAGGACCTGAATTCTTCAATCAGATTTTGTGATGATCCCAAATAGATTATATCATCCACATACACGCACACAATCAGGAAATCAGACAACTTACTCCCTTTCACATACAAGGTTGGTTCATTATCACTACGCACAAAGCCATTTTGCAGAAAATATGAGTCAATTCGCTTGTACCAAGCTCTTGGAGCTTGTTTTAGGCCATAAAGTGCTTTCTTCAGCTTGTACACCTTATGCTCCTTCCCATTTACCACAAAACCTTCAGGTTGGGACACAAAAACTTCCTCCTCCAAGTTGCCATTCAAGAACGCAGATTTGACATCAAACTGGTAAAGTGGAAGTTTTAATTTGGCAGCTAAAGACAAAAGCATTCTCACTGTTTCAAAGCGTGCAACAGGAGAGAATGTTTCGTCGTAATCAATACCCGGATTTTGTGCATATCCTTTGGCAACAAGCCTTGCCTTATATTTTTGAACACTACCATCAGCATTATGTTTCACCTTGTAAACCCATTTGAGTCCAATTGGAGTTTTACCGTAAGGAGGATCAACCAATTCCCATGTGTGATTGCGCTCAATTGCAGTAAGTTCTTCTAGCATTGCCTCCTCCCATTGCTCATTCTCCACTGCTTCTTCATAACAGGTTGGTTCAGACACATACAAGGCAAACGAACATGATTCATATACTTCGCTTAAAGACTTCATTTTTCGTGGTGGTGTGTCTGATGATGAGCTGGACTGATCTGATGAGCTGCTTCTCTCACTGCTTGGTGTTGAGGACGCACTTCTGGTTGGTGATATAGGAGGTGTGTGAACCTCATTGTTATTTGGTTGAGGCATTTCATGTGCAGTCTCTTCTTCTTCATTAGTCAAGAGAGAATTAGGTGATTGAGCACTATCTTTCGCATCTTCCCAACTAGCCTCTTCATTAAACTTGACATTCCTGCTTATAATTACTTTGCCACTTACAGGATTATATAGCTTATATGCCTTAGATTGGGTGCTATAGCCAACAAAGATATATTTTTGTGATTTCTCATCAAGTTTTGAACGAGAATTGACTAGAGCATAAGCTATACAACCAAAAATGCGTAAGTGACTCACCTTGGGCTTGCGACCTTTCCATGCCTCATATGGTGTTTGATCATAGACTGCTTTGGTAGGAGAAATATTGAGAATATAGACTGCAGTAGCCACGGCTTCAGCCCAAAATTCCTTTGGAACGTTTCTTGCGTTTAGCATACTTCTTCCCATTTCAACAATTGTGCGATTCTTCCTCTCGGCAACGCCATTTTGCTGGGGCGTATAAGGGGCAGTGAGCTCTCTGTGAATGCCATTTTCTTCACAAAATTGATTAAATTCTTCTGAAACAAACTCTCCTCCACGATCAGTGCGAAGGGTTTTAATGTGACAATCACTTTGTTTCTCCACAAATGCCTTGAACTTCTTGAAGTGCTCGAATGCTTCAGATTTTTTCTTCAGGAAATAGACCCAATTCATGCGGCTAAAATCATCAACAAACAGTAGGAAATAGCGACTCCCACCTAGTGAATCAATTGACATTGGTCCACATAAATCCGCATGAACTAGCTCTAAACAAGTTGAGGCTCTCCATGATTCCCCACTTGGAAAGGCTGGCCTGCTTTGTTTGCCAAACACACATCCTTCACAAAACTCAATAGGCTCGATTGTAGGCAAGCCAAGAACCATTTGTTTCTTGCCTAACAACCGTAAGCCATTAATATTCAGATGACCGTATCTCAAGTGCCACAAACTTGATTCACTATTTCCCTTTGCAATGAGGGCATTACTGGTTTCACTATGTGAAATATTTAAGGGAAACATTTTGTTTGGGGTCATTTTAATGCTCATAATTTTGCGATTTTGGTCATGAATATCACAATGGCCATTTTCAAAAATTACAGAATATCCACCCTTAATTAATTGACCAACACTCAATAAGTTGTGAGTAAGAGAAGGTACATACTGAACATCATGGATGAGTTTCGTCCCGCCATTACAAGTTGGAATTGCCACTATGCCTCTACCTTCCACCTTAACTTGCTTGTCATTGCCGAGTCGCACAACTGACTGCTTTGTGTTATCGATTGACTTGAACCATTTCCTTTCTCCTGACATATGATTAGAGCATCCACTGTCCACGAACCAGATTCCATGCTCCATCGGTTCAAGCTTTGAATGGGCCAAAAACAGATTGCTTTCCTCTTGTGGTGCCTCGGAGAAATTTGCCTTCGATTCTCCTCGTTGCTTGCTCCAACAGTTGGTCTCAGTGTGACCATTTTTCTTGCAGTAATTGCACTGAATATTGCTTCTGGAGTGTTGATTGAATCCTCCATTGTGCCTTCGACCGCGACCTCTACCGCGAAAGGCTCCTCGAAAACCACCTCTGCCTCCTCTGTTATTTGATGCTTCACCTTTTCCCTTTACGAAAGGCTCACCTCTCACTTGTAGAGCCTTTTCTTCACCTTTCTCCTTGTCTTTCTTGAACCTGGATTCATGAGCTAGCAAGGAACACATTAATTCGTCGAATGTGTAAGTTGAGAGATCTTTCGATTCCTCAATTGCAATAACGACCCCATTGAACTCAGGATCCAGGCTGCGCAACACTTTGCTTACAACTCTCTCGTTGCTCAAAAGCTCACCATATGATTTCATCTGATTAACAATACCTGATACCTTCGATAGGTATTGTTGCATAGACTCCTTCTTGGTCTTCTGCAAACCATCAAATTCAGAACGTAATGCTTGCAATTTAACAGAGATTACCTTCTTATCGCCAAAGTACTCGTGCCGTATGATCTCCCACGCTTCTTTGGCTGTCTTGGCAGACGATATGCGAGGGAATATGTCATCATCCACTGCAGATTGGATAAGAAATAGGGCTTTGGCATCCTTTTTACGATTGTCACGCAATCGTTGATCAGGTTCTCCTGATGCTTCGGTGTAACCTCCTTCAACAATGTCCCATAATTCTTGAGACTTGAACATGGTTTGCATTTTGATACTCCAAAGGTGATATTTTTCGCCTTTGAAGATTGGAATGAGAGGTTGTGCAGAAGGGTTTAGGCCGTTGTTAGACATAGTAGAAGCTTGTTTGATTGAGTGGTGAGGTTACGTGAGAGAAGAGAGGGATTAGAGCCGATTTTTTTTTTTTTTTTTTTTTTTTTTTTTTTTTTTTTGTGGAGCTTGGTTGAGGAAAACAGTCTAGCTCTGATACCAGAATTTGTTGGTAAAATAGAGGGAATTAAAACAGAGTAAATTAAATTAAGAAAGCAAAAGGAAAATCTGATAATATGCTCTTAATATTGCTACATCAATTGATCAATATTTGTGCCTTTATATAGGCTTACATGAAAACAACTTAAGCTAGAAAAGTGGAAGAAATAACAACTTGCTACTGATTTATTCAAAACACTAACTAACCCTTAAGACTCGGACAAAGTAAAACAGAAAAGTTGAAGCATTCTGTTTCAATGGGTAAATTTTTTTACAAAAAATAAAAAAATTATTTCTCTAACCCCCACATGCACCTGTGTACTATGTATTTTCTTAATTTTCGTGAAAAAATTCAAATAAACTCTTAATCCAAATAGTAGAGCAGAGTATAACAGAGTAGATCTCAGTAAAGCAAAACAGCTCAAAAGAACATTCATATGTTGCTACATTAATTTGTTAAGAACAAAATTGTATATAGGTTTTTTTTTTATTATTTTTTTTTAATATTATTAAAATCTTATCTTACTCTCTCTTTGAATAAACCGAACACCGCTTATTCTACATTTTCCATTCATTCAGACATTGTTTTTTTCCTCCATTCTAACTATGAGTCCTTTTATACAATATTAGAGAAGTAACTGTACTAAGTTTGATAATCTTCTTTCTTATTAATTATTTGTTGATTTTCAACGCCTAATTTCAGCTAGTATTTCATTCTATAAACTAATAAAACTTCAATTTCTCTGTTATATTATTTTCTTGTTTTCATTTTTCAGTAATTGAGTTCTATCAGATATACACACCCAAACACATGGAAAAAATAATTAGTCTTTGTTTACAATTCTCCCAAAAACTGATTTTTCATCCTTTGTTCCTCCCATTGATGCTGTTTGTAATTTTGTTCTACAACAGTCTTTCTTCAAAACACGGTAAATTTGGAAAAAACCTCCCACCTTCGCCACCAAAGTTGCCAATCCTAGGCAACCTTCACCAGCTCGGTGTTTTACCTCATCGTTCACTTCAATCATTATCTCGACGATATGGCAAAGTTATGTTGCTCTACTTCGGCAGTAAACCGGCTCTTGTCGTATCTTCTGCTGATGCTGCTGAAGAAGTCCTGAAGACTAATGACTCGATCTTCTATAACAGGCCTAAGTTGCGCAATGCAACTAGAATCTTTAACAATGGAAAGGATGTGGCCTTTTCTCATTCGGGAGAGTATTGGCGGCGAATGAGGGGTATATGCGTTATGCAGCTGTTGCATACCAAGAAAGTTCAATCTTTCCGAGCAATAAGAGAAGAAGAGGTTGCTGAAATGGTTGAAAAGTTAAACAGATCAGGTTGTTCAGAGGTAAATTTTGCGGAAATTGTTTTGTCATTTACATATGATGTGATATGCAGAACATCCTTTGGAAGAAAATGTAGCGAAAATCATGAGGGAGGCATCAATTTTAAGGATCGCGTGGATGAAGCCATGAAGTTGCTTGGGACTGTGTTTTTGGGAGATTTCGTACCCTGCCTTAGCTGGATCGATCGTGTCAAAGGTTTGGAAAGTCGATTGGAAAAAGTCGTAGCTGATTTGGATGTAATTCTTGACAAGATCGTTAAAGAACATCAAGTTCATTTAAGCACCAAGAAAAATATTGTGGTCGAGTCAGAAAATGAGAGAAACGACCGTAGTTTTATGGATATTTTGCTTGAAGTTCATATGAACAACAAACATGATATGTCACTTGACAGCATCAAAGCCGTTATACTGGTAAGAAACGGTAAATAATTTTCCGTAAAATAGGTTATATACACATGATTTTACAACATTATTCAACACTGTAAAAGTTTTGAAGAATTAAGGCTTTGTTGTTGTTGTATTAAACTTTTTAACTTGTTTCCAAAAAAAAAAAAAAAAAAAAAAAAACAAAACTTTTTAACTATGCAGGACGTGTTTTTGAAGATGCCCCAGTGGTGAGAAACAAATTTTTAATTCTCACATGACATTTTCGTAAATAAACCAACAATTTTATTCAACTGTGAAGCCCACAATGATGAAAACGTTATTGATTTATTCACGAAAATGCCCCATGAAAAACAAATTTCGTTTCTCACCATAAAAAACAGGGAATTTCCCCATGTTTTTGGCTAGGACCGACACAATTTTAATTGCAACATTATTAAACATAGAATACATAAATTTTAAAGGACTAAGGTTTTGTTGTTGTTGTATTAAACTTTTTAACTATGCAGGATATGTTTTTGGCTGGGACCGACACGACTTACACGCTCATAGAGTGGGTGGTGATCGAACTGATTAGAAATCCACGAGTTATGAAAGAGCTACAAGAAGAGGTAATAAAAATTGTCGGAGGTAAAGGTCGGAAGGTTTGTGAGGATGATCTTGAAAAAATGAGTTACCTAAAAGCCGTGATGAAGGAAGCACTTCGGCTACACCCTCCAGGTCCATTGTTAGTCTTTCACGAGTCGATTCAGGACGCCAAAATAAATGGTTTCGACATAGCTGCTGGTACATTGGTAATCATCAACGCGTGGGCTATTCAGACAGACTCGATGTATTGGGAAGAACCCGACCTATTCCGACCTGAAAGATTTCTAAACAGAAGTTCATCAGATGATTTCAGAGGGCAAGATTTCAGATATATTCCATTTGGTGCAGGCAGAAGAGGTTGTCCAGGGATATCGTTTGGCATGGTTTCTGCTGAACTCGTGGTCGCGACTCTCATAAACGAGTTTGAATTGAAACTTCCTGGTGGAATTCAGGGTGATGAGCTAGATATGACTGAAGTTGCGGGGCTTACAATTCACAGGCGAGATCCTCTTATGGTCATTGCAACTCCTCTTAAAATTTCATCCTAAGATGTTAAGTTCTTGTATGAAAGTATGCTGAACTAAATATGGGTTTGAAGGTCATTTTCATATCCAATGAATCAATTAAGTCATTTTTTTTTCTTTAGCATAAAGATCATTAAGAATTGTTAGTATTGTCAAAAAAAAAAAAAAAAAAAAGAATTGTTAGTAATTTGTAACTTTATCTACTCTTTCAATATCAATAATGATTAATGAAATTGGGTGTTTAATACTATCTCCGTTTCTTATTATGTGCAACAAAGAGGTATTATTTGTGAGATATTTGTTGCACATAATAAGAAACGGAGGTAGTAATACATACCGTTTGTAATTAAATCAACTTATAAGGCAAAAGGACACTGATTCGTTAATAGTTAAAGTTCACTTTCGGTCAATTTTTAAAAAAAAAATTAATTAGGTGGTCTTTGACATTTTTTTTTTTCAAAAGGTGATTTTTCACAAAAACAAGGATATTTAAGGTGGTTTTTGACAAAATTTTTTGAAAAAATCCTAGTTTTTAAAGAAAATTTCTCAATAAATCATAGATTTTGTTACCTATTTAGGTTTTATTAGGCTATTTATATAAAAAAAAAATCTTATATTTATTGAACAATAAAATACAAGGTATTATTGTTTAAAAAACAAAAAACGAATTTCAATCCATAATACCCTATTTTAATCCTGATAAACCTATATATCATTACTTCCCTTACGTGTAAATTCAATTAGAAAGAAAGATATTCCCTCAATGATTTTTTAAGTGTTACACTTTTCATTTCCGGTGGTGTTTTTTTTAAGTGTTACACTTCCTTTTTTGGTAAAAAACTACATTAAAATATTATATCTCTTCTTCTCTCATGGTCCCTACTTTAACCCACTATTACTTTTTTTTTTATCACCGAATATATCTTTCCTCTCACATTCATTACTTTTCAATAAAATATTAACCCCACTATCTTTCTTTTATAATTTTTAATACTCTAACTACCGCACTTACTTATTTTATTTAAGTCAATTAAATTGTCTAAAACGATGTGTCGGTCAAACTTTGACACTTAAAAAAATACGAAAGGAGTATTGATATTTCTACTATTAAATATGTGTTTTACAATAATAATTGCCAGTTAGTGGATTATGCCATCGGTTTTTTTTAACTTCTTGCGGATATGTAATTTTTGGATTATTGGTAAGGTTTGTACTAGCAACCTTTTTCCTTATCTATCTTTTCCTTTCTTTCCCTCCCCCTTCACTTTTAAATTAACTTTTACATTTAGCAATATAATAATTCATCCAAAAGGTGGAATGAAGGGTGGATGACTTGAAACGTGGATGCATATTGAGAACAACATATTCAAGACTAAGGCTTGTTTGATTCACCTTAATTTTGCTGAACTGAAATTATTTTTACTGAATTGAACTTATTTTTACTGAATTGAACTTAATTTTACTGAACTGAAATTATTTTTACTGAACTTAAATTATTTTTACTGAACTGAAAATATTTTTACCGATTTTCTATTATAATTCTTCTTAAAGAAAACTGAATTTTACTGAACTGAACTTATTTTTACTGAACTAAAATTATTTTTGCTGAACTGAAATTAATTTTACTGAACTGAACTTATTTTTACTGAACTGAAATTATTTTTACTTAATTTTATTTTTGTAAGGTGAAGAGAACAGAGCCTAAATATTTCACCATCGACTTTGGTATTACGTTAGTGTTGATACATATACATCATATTAACTTATTAAGACCAATTTATCTTAAGTTTAAGCTATTGGTTGACGCCTAAAATTATATATATATATATATATATATATATATATATATATATATATATATATATATATATATATATATATATATATAATCTTCGTATGATATGATCTCTTCTACCAATCAATTATCCTAATCAATAGCATGATTAAAGTATAGTTTTTCCAAGCTTTCATCACCACAAACTTTCAATATTCATATACTAATATGCACTCGTGAATAACAACAGCATTGTTGCAATAATTTGAAAACGAAAAATGTGCGTAATACTGTGTTAGCAACAAAAGAAACATCCCTATCCAAAAAAGGCATTTTATTGAAGCTTCTTGAGTGCTTAGCTTGGGAATATAAGTAGATCATTTTAGTGGTTAACAACACCCATACTAGCTCCATAGTCCATACTCCAATCTAGAAAACTTACCTTACAAAAGAGTAAACATGCTACGTTTAGTCTGTGTAAATGGCTTCTCTTTTTTAACATCTTCAAAAATACTAGTTAAATCACAAGCAAAAAACAACCTATTATTGCCCAAATACAACCCAAATCGCTTCTTTAGAAGCAATTATATTTTGACAAACACTAGTAATAATAATAATTCTGTGGCACCAATAAATTGTGCACAAAGTCGTGAAGATTTGAATCAATCATCAAAGGAAGTTAATGAGAATTCTATGGCGAGGCTCCAACAAGGAGAGTTTATCATTCCTAAACACGTAGCCATAACCTTGGATGGATGCAGGAGATGGCATAAAGCCCGCGGCCTAGACCTTGATTATAAGTCTTTCTTTCAGGCTAACTTGAGGTTTGTCGAGTATTGTCTCAAATGGAAAGTTGGCACTGCCACAAGTTACATCTACGGACTAAGAAATTTTAAGCTGCGATCTAAGGTATTTTATTTCTTCTGTTAACAATTTTGATCAATTTTTGTCAATTCTGACCTCACATTGGAACCAGAGGACCAAAATGCCCCCAAAACCTATGAAAAACATGTTTTGCGCACGAAAATCAAAGAAATTTTTTAAACCCTTAAATTTAACGGTTTTCTTAATGATAGGTAGTAATAAAACAATTTTTAAAATTTTATTTGGTTGTAAAATAAACTTTTAAAAGTTTTAGTGATAAAAAACAATTTCTTGATTTTTTTTTTATGATAAAAGTAAAAAAAAATCCTATAATTTAGTGTAATTTAACTAATTCTAATGCTTAGTCCTTTTTTTCTTTCATTGCAGGAAGCGGTAGATTTTTGTATGGGGCAGTTTGAAACTTTTTTAAAGGAAGAAATGGATAATCTTAAAAGGTACTCAGATACTCTGCTCATTTTTCTCCATGTAACAATCAAATGAATGGAAAAAATATGTATATCAATAGATTAAATTTTCTTTACAATAGTATAAACATAGTATAAGTATTTATAGGCATATAATTAGGTTAAGGGTTAGTCAATTATGTATTCTATTATTGGACATACATGACTACATGTTCATTATTGGACAAAGTTGATATAAGACCAAAACAATAGCTTTACAATTTGAAACGAAAATTAGTATGACACCTTAATAGTATGACACAATAATATTGACAAAGTTGATATAGGACCAAAATTAATGAAAGTTAATAGTTTTGTATCCACTTGTGCTTGCTTTTCAATCGCTTCATTGTTATTTATTTTTTCGTTTGCGTGTTTGATGATTCAACCATTATATTGGCTCGACCCGATCTGACCCACTACAAAATAATTGTACTGATACAATAACCAAGTCTAGATACCAATAACTATAAAATAGAACGACAACACAGTATGCTTATCATTTAATTTGCTTTACACAAATTTTAAACAGGAAAGGAGTAAGAGTGTCAATAATAGGACAAAAATATGTGTTATCTGAATCATGTCAAGCCACGATAAAGAAAGTGGAGGAAGCAACAAAACACAATACAAAACTTGATTTAGTCCTTCCACTATGCTATACTTCACAAAGCGACATAGTTCAAGCAACAAGAAAAATTTGTCACAAAGTCAAGAAAGGAAGCATTACACTAGAAGATGTTAATGAAGATTTGATTCAACAACATCTTTCTGCTTGTGGATCTCGACCCCTTCCCGACCTATACATACGAACGAGCGGTCTACTCCGCATTGGGATGTTGTTGGGATGGCGAGTAGCCGATGTTGAGCTATACTTTATCAAAACTTGTGCACCTGATTTTGGCGAAGATGAGTTCCTTGATGCTTTGCGTTCCTATCAACAAAGGACTTATAGGTTGTTTGGTAGTTAAAATGAGAGCAATGTGTTTCAGCTTCTTCTGGTCAAATTAAAGCTATTAAAACTCCTAGTAGGTTGTGGCGTATGTTTTTTTTTTTATTGTTCTTAAAATTGCAAGACAACTTTTAGTTTTTTTTTTTAGTCAAGAAGCTTTTGCGTGAGATCGTACTCATCATCAATCCAATATCTAATGTCATATATTGGATTATTAATGTCAAATATAAATTATCAATGTCATACATTAGAATATTACTGTCACATATTAGATTATTATTGTCAGATATATTAGACTCACCGTGAGACGAACTTATCAATTTTTTTTTTTTAAATCATGAAATAATAGAGGCCTATAAAAAATACTTCCACTTTAAGTAAAATCATATGACGCAATGACACCCCCATTTTTCATATTCTATTTAAGAATAATAAAGTATTTGTTTGGTTGACAAGAAAATATATTAGAAGTATAAGCTGATTATTCTACCACTTTCACCGAGCATGTTTTGATAAAGGAATTTCTTCTTCTTTTTTTTTTTAGAAAATTGGTTTTATATTTATTTATTGGTTAGGAGAAAAAAAAAACTCTTAATCTCACATTTATAGAAAACGAAACTGTATGGGGAGATATGTAAATGGGCCAACATCTTAAAAAATACAAGAAACAGTATTAGATTTCTATCGCATATGCCGGTATCATCACATAAAGCAGACATGTCGGTTTATTGGTATTTGGCACGTGGCAGCAGCAACTTGACACTTGGCAAGAAAGGCTCTGCATGTCATGTAGCCACCTGTCATTAAGAGGTATTATAAATAGTAGGTTTGGTCTCATAAATGAGGTTAACATTTATTACTCTCTCTCTCTCCTTTCTCTCTCTTCATTACTTCTTATCTTCTTCTTAAACACTTTCTAACTTTATCATCGGAGTGGTTATCTCCGGATCACCCCGGGTTAACTAATCTCTGCTCATTGTGTAGGTTCTCAGCTTGTCGATAGGAGTATCGCGGATCTCGGGCTCGAGCTCAGACTCTCGGGTTATTAGATCCTGACCGAAACAATTTGGCGCTAGAAGGAGGGGGTTGTGATCGCTTCTATCGCCTAAGAACCTCACACACAAAAATAGCAAGGCAAACAATAATGGCTGAAAATCAGGAAACACCCGCGATTAGTAGAATAGTAAATCAAGTGAAAACAGCAAGGAATGAAACAACACAACCCGAAATTGAAATAGAGGATGAAACTCATACTTTGGAAGATAATCAGTTCCACATGTCGATAACCCTAGAAAAGCGAGTCGAGACAGTTGCAGACCCTATGGCTTACTTTACACCGCAGCTAGGGTAATGAGTGCAATGAGTAAGAAAAGGAAGGAAGCAGAAACAGAAACTCAAATATGAAATCAGTGAATTGAATTTGAAATTCTAAATATGAATTTGAAACTTTCAACATTCTTAACAAACTTGTACTTTGAACATAGAACCCAAATAAAAATAAATTCAGAATCTACACAAAGACTCAACATAAGGGCCCAAAAGATCTTAAGAATTCCAATGGAGGATTTATCGAAGTTTACGGGGTACAACTCATATAAGTCCACATACAATTCATACATGATACAAGGTGTGCTTACGAGGTGTGGATGACATATAATGTTCTACAATTATAAAGATAGTTTAGCATGTTCACGAGTTCTCAAGTTGTACATTATGTATAATGACACCTAGTTATCTACAATTATAAGAAACTATCTATTTCCTCCATTTTTTATTGTTGACATGTTTCTATTATCACGCTTGTCAATGCATGTTTTGAACGGTTAATATCTATAAATATCAACATTGTAAAATTATATATAAAAAAAAAGGGTAATGTTATATGTAGCCGTAAGGGCTATATATAAGCATTAAATATACTCTTGGAAATTGTATAAAATTAGGAATTCATGACAAAAACACGCGTAAATCAGTGTTATTAGTGTTTATATTTTGATGATTTCTTAACTTTTTATAATTTTCAAATGTAAATTTAATGCTTATATGTAGCCCTAAGGGCTATGTATAACATTTCCCAAAAAAAAAGTGAATATTAATAAAAAAAAAATATATACATTGAAAAGTTCAAACAAGATTACACATGAATATATTTTATCATATCTATAAACCACAAAAGCGAGTCAAAATGTATTGTGTGAATAGTGTAAAAGTCAAACGGTGTCAACTAAAAAAACGGAGGAAATAGGTAGGTTCTTAGTTTCTTACATCATTTTTTTATAAGGTTGTTTCTCCGAAAAAATGGCTTATAATAGGTAGTTTCTCACAATAAATCCTTTTGGTTAGTGAGTTGTATCCCTTGAGACTTTACTTCTTGACGTCCTTTTTCAATTTAATACGAGCAACATTTTATGCAAATTAGAACATATGATCACTTTCCAAATGTCCTTTCCCTTTGCTGAAAAGAGCGCAAGGCTTGGAGGAACTCAGCTTCTCCAAATTCCGGTGCGGGAACTTGGGAGAAGTAGAGCTCGGTTTGGGCTAACTGCCACACCAAATAATCACTAACACGGAGGCGACCACCAGTTCGGATGAGCAGATCAGGGTGAGGCGCGCCACGAGTCCATAGCTCTTGATCAAACAAGGTCTCGTCGATAGCTTTGGGTTCGATCACCCCAGCCTTAACCTTTTCACAAATGTTCCTAGTAGCTTGCAATATATCTCTAGTCCCTGAATAACATATTGCTAACATCAACTCCAACTTATTTGTGTGCTTTGTTCTTGTTACTTCTTCCACTTGTTTTATAATGTCTTGTAAAGATTTGGGGAGTAGCAATCTTTCTCCAATCATCGAAACTTTAATTTCTTTCCTGCAATTTCATAGCAAACATGTAAATAATGTAATGTATTAAACAAGCCAAGTGTGAATAGCTTAAACAAATATACCAACTTTAATTTTAACTACCCTTTCTACCCTTGGCTTACTTAATAGAGATAATGAGAATAATATATATATATATATATATATATATATATATATATATATATATATATATATATATATATATATATATATATATAATATGGTAATTGAAGATTAGTGATCAAAAATCAACTTTTATAATCTCTACTAAGGTAAATTAGAGTCAAATATATACAAAGTATATAAAGGTTAAAATTATATATGTATTAGTAAATGCATGTGCCAATAAATGTGCCCGCGCTCAGATTGTTACGTACACTTATTTAGAACCAATCAACAAAAGGAAATATGTAAGTTTGTAACTTTTCTTCCACAATGTAAACTATAATTGACTTTTTACGTGCACCAGCTACACTTACAAAAGAATACACCATATATGCATTAAAGATAATTAGCATGATTTGCAAACTATTCAAGTAACAATTAAGATTAGGATGCTGCCAATCGGCCATAATGGTAAATATATACAGTACCTTACAAAATTCTGCAGATTACTCTCTAAATATTTTTCAAGCTGCTCAAACAATAGATCACTGGCCTCCTGCAATTCAATTGGAAGAAAATTTAGTGGAATGCAGCTGGATCAAATAACAATGTTCAATGAATAAATGGTTTTTTTAAAAAAAAATAAAAATAAACAATGTTTAATCACTTTTGTACCAAGGCTTTCAGGTTGTTACATATGAGATTAATTAAAATGTGAAAAAATATTAAAGTAAAAACAAACATTAATTACACCGATACACGTGATTAAATTATCAAAGGAGCATTTTTATTAACCAATAATAATTAATCACTCTAATAGTTAAATCTATTATGTCTAGAGATGTCAAAAACCGACCTGAACTGTTTGGAACTATTCCAAAAAGAAACGAACCGCTAAGAACCTGTTATTTTAAAACCGTGAACTGACCTACACGATTTTTTAAAACCTGAAACTGAACAGATCCGAATGTTTGAGAACCATTAATGAACCGTACCCGATATCAATCCGAACTGATACAACCCAAAATCGAGAACAACCCGAACCGTGTACTTTTGAACCCGATAGCAACCCGATCCATTGTAAACCGAAATCGTTTAAACTTGACAAAAACCCGATAAACCCAAATTGTTTACAACCTGTAATTGGTTAGGATTGAACCGTTTATAACCCGTAATAAGTTATGATCGAACCGTTTACAACCCGTAATCGGTAATAACCGAACCGTTTATAATTCGTAAGTTCGTAACCTGTTATGACCGTAGTTTTTTTTTTCTTTTTATTGGGTACATTTTATCAATAGTAAAACAAAAGGTTTTTAATTTGAATTATAAAGTATTTACATTGAAAAGGTTTGGAATTTTTATGTCATTGAAACTCTTATGCTACAATATTATCGTCCTCTAACGAGTAATGGCTTATGGAACACTATATTGTATTAAAAAAATCAAAAATCTAAATCAAAAGCTAACTCTAGATTTGTTAGTATTATTTGATCCTTAAAATCATTATGCAAAAAAGGGACATAAAGTTAAATAACTAATTAATACTCCGTATGATCTAATGGAATAACTAATTAAAGAATATTGAAGATATACTAGACGATATACATTAACGTAACTCGTTTAAAACTGGCAAAACTAGTTGTCAAACCGACTAAGTTCAACTCGAACCGATTACAACCCGAATTGATTACAACCCAACCCGATTAGGACCCAATATGTGTTGACCCAAAACCCGCTTTAAACTGACATACCCCGTTCTTAAAGCGACTGAATTTGACCCGAACCGATTATGACCCGAACCGGTTATAACCCGACCCAATTAAAATCTAACCCGAAAAGAATCTGTAATAAAAATAAACCAAACTGAACTGACCCGAAATTATTTAAAACCTACCCGAACTGACTGTTAATAATTCCAACTCGTTAAAAATCGACCCGTTACAAACCGAAAATTAATAAACCGAACCCAAAACTAAACCGAAAACCCGATTGACACCCCCTAATTATGGACTAAAAAAGAAAAGAAACAGAAATGAATTATTTCTTCTTTGCAATTATAATATAAAAACGTTAAACTTACAACAATCAACTATAAATAAGATTGAGTTAAATACTTAAAGTCAAAATCAGAATAACATGGAACACATTTGTGCAAACAACTGATACAATTAATTAGTCAAAAAATAATAATAATTAACGCAACCATTTTCAAACCAATAACAAAACAACCAAATTTAATCAACAAAACTAGCTTCACGCTAATTACCAAATGAGGCCATAATCTCAACAATACAAATGACCAAGAGATCGAGTGGCTTAAGCTAGATAGATTAACTTGAGCTAACATACATAGATGAAATAAATAAATAATCAAAGAAGATGATAAAGGAACACTTACTTGTCCTCTTTGTAGGTTTTTGAAAGAATACATAAAAGTGGTGGCAGTAGAAACACCCCATTTAAGACAAAGGTCAGCAAAGAGGGTGTTAACTTCAAAGAAGGGATCATAATTTAGAGGTTTTCCTTGAGCCTTAAGCCACCTCCTACTACCATCTAATATTATTGCAACATGTTTTGGAATAAGCTCTTTCTTAAGATCAACCTCTAAGTATTTTTCATCATTTTGGTAGATGTGTTTATTGTTGTTTCCAAGTACAACTATTTTTGAGCAATAGCTTGAGTTGTTTTGGGTAAAACACAAGTAATTAAGGCTAGGCTTGTGCTTGAAACATGTACCAAATTGTACCAATCTTTGCATTTTTGGCCTTTTTTTATTTAACTTTTTTTTATTTGAATTTATTGACTCAACTTTGCTTTGCTATTGTTGGAATTATGTTGAGTAATTGACTAATAAATGAGTGGTGGAGTTGTTGGAATATAATTGTGAAATTATTGTTGTAGGTCATACGGAAAAGGCTACACATACAATGGTTGTATGTGATGGCCTACATACAACCATTGTTAACAGCATTTGATTGGTTTGTATTTTGGGGTCCACTTTCCTAATCTTATTTCCCACTTATTTTTTTTCTCCCCTTTGATGTGGCATACATACAATAGTATTGTATGTGGGCTACCACATACAACCATTGTATGTGTAGCATCACTCAGGTCATACTCTATATATTTTTGGTTGGTAATCAGCTCAAGCGGTGATGGTTGTTTTTTTCATCATTCTTGTACTTGTCTTTAACTAGTATATATAGTGCCAATACTTCGTGTATGATGTATGGCCTACAAAATCCTACTATGTTTAATGCATGATTAATGAATGATTATATTGTAGATTTGAAACTGAATGATTTCCTTTTTTTTTCCAAAAATGTATGATTAGTGAATGGTTAAAGCTGGTAATTTTTAATTTTTTTTTTCTAAACTGCTTGAATTGCTTGATCAATGACTGAAATTTATTTATACAATATAATTTCAAAATTGATTAAATTTTTTTTTTTGAGATCAATATGATTAATATAGCAAAAGGCAACAAAAAATGTTATACTATGTATAATTAAACATGCAAGTATTTTTAACACATAAAATATTATATACATATAAGCAATTAGTGGTTTGTGGAGGGGTGATGTACCTTGTGCATGGTGCATCCGTTCCCAAAAAAAAAAAAAAAAAATGGACAGAACATTGTATAGAGATGTAAACAACATTTAACTAGAATGAAAAGAACATTTAGTTAAAGTGAAAAGAACATGTTATAGAATTGTAAAGATTAAAGAACATCTTGTTAAAATATAATGTAGTGAACGTGATAGTTTATGAGTGTCTATTTAAAAATAACATGAATTATATAATAAAAGAATATAAAAGATATAAAAAGAACATAGAGCTATTAATTACAATGAACATAACACTATCTTATAAAGAACATTTATATCTTCAACCTTTGTCACATTATTCTCAAATTTAACATCCATATTCATCAAATTTCAAAAAGGAAAATAAAAAATGAATTTTATGATTACAAAATATTCTAATTCAAATCTAAAATAACACAATTAATGAAAAATAAATATTGTACAAAATTTCATTCAAAATTACCTTCGATCTTTAATGTGATTAACAAATCCACATATTTACCTTCATTAACAATCACTCCATTAACCAAACAATGATCAAAAGAACCACGAAACTCGATTTATATGCGCAACCGTCGTTTCCTATCGGTAGAATTTCTTTTTCCCTATAAATTTTCTATTTCTCTCTCTAAGATTTTTATTCCTCTATCTAAAGACTTCAAACAAGTGAAATTAAAATATGAAAGAAATATACAAATTTAAAAATTGAGATTTGGAAATAATTACCAAAAATCTTCAATTATGGAACAAATGATTCATTTAAAAATTGAAAAGCTAGATGTTGTTTAAAAAATACTATTATGTTCTTGTTTTTTTTTTTTTTGGCTGAATAAAAATAATATTCATTACATTATATTATCATGTTTTTTATTAATATTACGGATGTTCTTACATATATATATATATATAAAGAACATAAAGCTGGATTTTTTTTTAAAAAAAAAAAATAGCTATATGTTATTTACAAAACAACACTACTACATTTTTAACCAGATGTAATGGTCAATAAAGGGCTAATGCAACATCATATTTATTACCGTCTCAATACATTAGTCTAATGCAACGGATATTATTTTACACTTCATAAGGTAGAGCTAATACAACGGATTTGTAGAACAGTTGCATTAGCTAAGCTGAAGAAGCTAATACAATGGCTAAATAAGCTGATGCAACGGCATAAATATTCAATAATACGGAGTGGCGCAGAAAATTTTACTTCTTCCCTCTAATTTTTTCCCAAAATTTTGAACCTTCTACTACATTGCCGCCACACGTACAAGATTAACCTTAAAAAAAGAAACTATCTAATCCTCTCTCTCTCCTCCTTTCCCCAATTCCTCATTTTTTTTTCTCAATCTGATGCTTCCTACAATGGTAGTCGCTGCTACTCATTTCTTGGTCTATGCATACGACCCCCCTAAAATTTGCTCATTAGTTTATTATTCATAAGAAATTTGGGTTTGAGTTCCTTTTATAAGTTTTCACTTTTCTTTGTTTCCTTCTCTTCCACAGTTCCACTCTAATTCTTCTGATTTCATTGCCCAAATTTCTTCTCATTTTATGGGCTATTTGCCCCAATTTCAACTAGTAAGTTTGGTAAGTTCGCTGATTTGGGTCTCGTTAATTACGCCATAATTTTTAATAAGATTTTTTATTCTGTCATTTACCTTGTTCATAAGTTCAATTAATTTTTGGGTTTATCTTATTGTTCTTAATTTGGTGTTATATATGGAGTGATTTCGGATTTTGGGGTTATTTACCAGTTTTATAATTTTATCAGTTCATAATTTTGTGGATTTTTTTTGTTCTTTGTTTGGTTAATAATATGTATAGAACTCGTTATACTGTGCTCTTAGTTAATTGTTTGCAATTCTTAAATATTTTGCTCTATAATTTTTTTTTAGCAAATTACGGAGTAGTAATTTGAAAAACGGAGCTCTCTTTTTAGATCTGTGTAAATTATAAAAGAAAGTTGAGGAATCAGGATAGGAAAGGGACGATAACGATCAAAATATAAGTAATCACTGTCGAGAATTTTTATCGGAGGTCTTTAATTTTTCTCTTCCACCTTATCAATGGCAGATTAAAGGTTTCTAGGAAATAGATAAGTGTTTGCTGAATATTGTTTTGTAGAGGAAGTGAATGGAGGAGGAGAAACACTTTGTGTGTGAGGTGTGACTTTCAGCAAAGTTGTTGCTTTGGTTGTAGATCTCCCGCTACTCGCAAGTGAAAGTGTAATATTTCTCTTCATTTTTTAATCTCTTTTTGGATGACTACTGATATATGTGTAATTAAGATTAAGAATGGCATAAATAGTTAATTTTTTCAGCTTTAGAGAATATAGTTATAAACTAGATCTGAATCTGATTACAAAAATTAAAGGTTCCCATCAGTTTTCTATACTCGCTGAGCCACCGAGTTTTGTACTTTTTCAGATTAACTTGGATTAACCTGCTAAATTTTACAGGAGTTTTCTGGTGTCTAATATTCTCTGTTTTTTAATTATATGGCCCGTAGCATGTATTTCAAAGTCTTTGATTTAATACTCTTTATCTTATGTATGTCCAACCATGACATATATGACCGACATTATTTCATGAATACAAATATGTTTTTATACATGGACTAGCATTATTGGGTTCAGTAACTATTACCCTGTAAATCACTTGGTTTAATTGTATGACACAAAGATTAGAGTGGAGTTAATTTTCTAATATTTTGGATGGTTGTGTTTTTGTGGTTCAATTTTATGTTATTGACCTTGTATTTCATTTTTAGAGTTGTTGGGAAAGATTAGAGTGAAGTCGATCCATTAACTGTATATTTGGGCTTATAAATTAAGTTTCTTGTTTGATTTTAATTGGTCCACAACTTACATGGAAATTCCAAACCGTTGCGTTAGGCTCTCAACTGATATGGGACATATACCATTGTGTTAGCTTTTCCGTTGCATTAAGTGTCGTAATCATGTTAATTATAAGGTAGTAAGCTATTGCGACGGATAACTACTGTCGTTGCATTACGTATTGATCTAATACAATGGTTCATTGGTGTCGTTGCATTAGGTGTCAAATGTCGTTGCATTAGGCCTATTGCCACGCTAGCAGATGTCATGGTACAGGGTTGTTGCATTAGGCCTAATACAACGGATTTTGACGCCTAATGCGACGGATTTAGGGGTTGCATTAGCTCAAAAATGTAGTAGCGCAAATACATGTGATTTTCTTTATAAATAGCTATATGTTCTTTAAAAACAACTATATTTTCTATACTGAACAAGTATATGTTTATTCCGACTTTTTTTTTTGTAAAGAAAACCGATGGTGCATCTACCTCCATGGAAAAAATTTCAACATTTAAGGGAAAAAATGGTAGAGCCAAAATTCATAATCCCCACATCAAATCCGGTTTGTTTTATGATGTGATAATTGATTGATTTTTAAAATAATTCCCATTTTTGTACACGTAAAAATAGAGATATGGACATAAGATAAATAAATTTGTCAATTACAGCCATTTAAAGTTTATACTTTGTAAATTGCAGTCATTTAAAAAGAATTTGTAAATTGCAGCCCAAAAGTACTAATAAATTAATACAAATTTTAAATGGGTGCAATTCACAAAATTTTTCTGTGTATTGATAAAAATATTGAAATCTAGATATGTTGAATAAATCTAATTTAATTATGTTTTATTCCTAAATTTCAGTGTAAAAATACAGCTAAAGTTCAGTCAAATCATGACATTAAATCGATCTAGATTGTATAAATAAATATTCAAACCAAATCTCTAGATATTTCATGTGAAAAAACCCGAGATATTTCTGTCATAATGACTATGCTTCTCATGGAGTCATGAATATATTATCAATTTTACAATTTCTGTCATAATAGAGATGAGGATAGCCTATAATAAGGGTATAATAACGTCATGAACAACATTTTTATTATTGTTCCAAACTTGCAATATACGAAGTATTTGAATTGCATACCGTCATACCTTATACATAATATTTCCACCATTTTTTTAATTCGCTTGAAATTTTACACTAATCACATACACGTACTGTTTTATTTATTTATTTATTTATTTTTATCATCTTTTATAGTTATACATTTTAAATGTGATAATTTGGCTCTAATTTGTTAAATTTGTCCAAAATATTTTTAAATATTATCAACTTTTAATAAATTTACTAGAACAAAGCTTATAAAATGTGCATCACTAACTATTTATTTATTTTTTTAAAATGCATTACTAAGCGTGAACACAACTTAGTGTACGTACAATGCAATTAAAAAATGGAGGAAATATCGTGTACTCCCTCTATCCCAAAATATAGTTTCCGTTTGACTTTTTACGGTCTCCAAGACGTGTCTGCTACTAAAACTCGGTCAAATTACGACCATTTCTCTATGACCGTTGATTAGGGGATTTTTCCCCACCAATCACCATCTGACAAGTGGACCAATCAGGTTCCGCCATGTGTCCGTCACATGGGCCAATAGGAGCCTGCCACGTGTCAAGCAATGATCCGTCCACTATGGACCAATTACGACACGACACGTGTCCTTCCCATGACACCTGGGATAACCGGTCACCAAGGCCCAACTTCCGTGGGAAGCCCAATCAGCCCAAGGTTAACCTAAACCTAGATTGGCACGTT